ACAAAAATTGAAATTCAATAAAATACATATGTATGTGTCTACATTTTAAATTTGCAGACTTTAGCTCACCCATTTTCAATGGGTTCAGAGTATAATAATAGAAAATAATAAAAAATAGCAAAAATAAAATTTAAATAAATTACAAATAAATAAATATTTCTGATTTGCTACTACCATATTTTTTATGTGTTGGACATTAGATATTGCAAATTTCATTACGTGACTATCTGGTTTATAATACTTAGTCAATGAATAAAATATTAAAGCATCAAGGGCTTAATACATAAACATAATCTCTCAATCGCGTTTCTTAAATTACGTCAGCGAAGCTACCATATATGGCAGATTATTCTTTTTACTAAAATAAGCGGAAGCGATTAAACCTATTACTAGAAAATATTTTTGAATAAGTTCATTTAAATGAGATGTATATATGTTATTTAAATTAATTCAGTGAATGAAACTAACAATTTGCAGATTTTCCGGCGAATATAATGATTCGTCTATTAATTGAAAGTACATTGATAACAATAATATATATGTATGTTTGAGACCTTTCAATCCATTTACGATTTAAATATATTGCTCTCACTGTCCCCACAACATGTCTCTATCTCTCTTTATCACTCAGTCTTTTTCTCTCAAATGATATTAAGATATAACATTCTCAATCATTTGAATCTCAAAACAAGTTTTTGCGCTCTCAAGCATTAAAAGTTGTTGAATTGCTTTGTAGTACGAATCACACAGCTGCGAGTTGTGTGTCTTAAATGTTATATATTCCATTGAAATACTTAACATATAAGGTGTGGCTAGTTTGTAAACAACGCCAGTTGGATGCTTGCCTTTGGAAATGAAAATGCAAAATCTTCGTGGAGAGACGTTCACTTCAAATATGTTGGAGTACGATGAAGTCTTGGAGAGGATAGGTAAGCAGTTACCCATCCACATATACAGATAATTTTAGCTAATCCGCTACGCATCGACACAGGCTATGGTAAGACCCAATGGCTACTACTTTTAATAAGCGGCCTGCTGACAATTACTTCTGTGGCTGCTCAGCAAACAATGAGCATCGTTGTAATCGCATCTCGTTGCGAGTTCGCCACAACGGAAGCCGAGATGGGTGTTATGATGGCGGCATATGTAGCGGGTAAGTCATGGACTGCAAAGCACTTAACAGCAGTTTGAAGCACCTCTGCTCTCGATTGTTTTACACTTGTTAATTAATTGAACATATATAATAATAATAAATATATAAATACGAGATTATATGTATGTATATTTAAATTCAAAATACGAAAACTCATATATATCTATTCATGCCTTTGTATACATACACGTATAATATTAATCAACAATTATTTGATTTGCATTTCTGTAGGGGTTTTTCTCTCAACCTATATATGGGGATATGTCTGCGATGCAATAGGTCGTCGTAAAGTTTTGCTTTACGGAACATTTTCAAGCTGTGCCCTTCTATTTATTCTCATGTTTGTGACAAGTGTTTGGCTATTTAACGTTATTAACTTACTTTCCGGTATCAGGTAAGAATCATCATCATGTATGTAAATTGACTCAATATTCATTTACAATGGATAAGCTACAACACAATGAATACGCTAGCTAACATAGCTTGTGTCGAGCGATGCCAACTGTTAGTTTTATTCTCCGAACCCAATGAAAATGGGAAATAGGGGTATAATTGTTTTCTTGAAATGTATTTAACAGGCAGAAGGAGGCGTGGCAGACCCCACAAAGTATATAT